GGAGCCCTTTGAGCCTCTGCAGTCAGTAGAGCTTAAGTTTCTGTCGTTAAAGACAGTGCTCCTCACTGCATTGGCCTCGATCAAGAGGGTAGGGGACCTGCAGGCATTTTCGGTCGACGATTCGTGCCTAGAATCCGGAACAAGTAACTCTCACGTTGTCCTGAGACCCCGGCCTGGATACGTGCCCAAAGTTCGCCTTTTAGGGATCAGGTGGTGAACTTGCAAGCGCTGCCCCGGGAGGAGGCAGATCCAGCCATCGCTCTGCTCTGTCCCGTTCGCGCTATGCACATTTACGTGGACCGTACCCGGAGCTTCAGGACCTCAGACCAGCTCTTTGTCTGCTTCGGAGGACAGCAGAAGGGAAAGGCTGTCTCCAAACAAAGACTTGCCCACTGGTTAGTGGAGGCTATAGTCTTAGCTTACCAGGCCGAACGGTTACCTTGCCCCCTCGGAGTGATAGCTCACTCTACGAGAGGAGGGGCATCTTCTTGGGCATTGGCGCGGGGCGCCTCGATACGGGCTAGGCCCGTGTGTAGTGATTCCCCCTTCGGGCGATCCCACATGTGTACTCTTCCACGGTACGGCTCCCCTCACGGTAAGCCTGTGTCTTTCCCTGGCAGTCGTTCTCTGTCATCTCTGTTGTGTAGTCGTCTCACCCCAGGCGGGTTGAGTCTACCGCAGGGACTTCCATATGTAGCACTGCCCTGGGCCAGTCCATATGTGTATTCCACATGATACCTCCTATGCGCAGGATGTGGCTTCCGTAGCGTTCCCAACTGGGTACGCTTTCCCAGTGTTATCCAATTTACCACTGTATGGAACAGCAGTGGCGGACACCTCTGCCTAGCCGCTGTCCTATCTTCCGCCCCAGCTGGTGTGAGGGGACTTGCCGTCTTCCGCAGGGCACTGAAGGGGGTCAGCAATAGTGGCATTTTCCATACGGATCCCAAATTTGTCAGTCACGACTGACGTAACGTCGAACATGACTGACTGAAAGGGAACGTCTCGGTTACTTGTGTAACCCTCGTTCCCTGAAGGAGGGAACGGAGACGTTACGTTCCGTAGTCTCGGCTCCTCAGTGAAAAACTGATGTGCGTTTGCA